GAATTTTTTTTAATAAAAGTATATTAAAAGTGGTTTCGTGTTATATAGTATAAATATCATTATTAATTTATAATTGCTATTAATTTTGTCTAATAATTTGTAATTATAGCGATATCATTTTAAGTATTCATTTAGTAAATTGCATTATTTTATTTTAAATAGCATTAACCTTTTACACTCACGTTTATTTAGTTGAACCCTAGAACGAATATTTTACTACCCTTTAACAATGGCGCCAAATGTGTAGTAAAAAACGTGAAAGAGCTAAATGTGAGTTCTGTGCTTCCGAATACTATTTCGTTTATTTATCGTTTCGACATTTAAACGTATTTATATGCAAGCCGTAAGCCAAAACAGCAGCGAGTCAATTTCATTGGCAATTAAAAAGTTCATTGGTTATTGTGTTCATTTAATATGCCAGCCAAGCCCACAGCAAACCAAACCGCAAAGCGTTGCACCCTGGCATACTCGTAGTTGTACCCAGACCCAGACCAAAAGACAATGCTAAGACAGACCGCTGAATGGAGTGCAGTCAGCCGACCATAGACATGTGCAAATCCTTTACAGACAACCAATGCTCACCATTAGTATGTAAAGTGTAAACTAATGGGTGCAAACTTTAAATTTAAGCATCTCAACATTTTGGTGCACACAAAATTAAAAGAAGCGTGGGAAACGATTGTTAAAACAAAATAAAAGGAATATATCAAAGAAAAAAATAAAAATATAAGAAATATTGTAAAATAAAATTAAAAAAAAATTTCAAATAAAATTTGTATTTTTCTCTGCAGTAGCAGTCCAGTTACCATAATATAACTTTTCAACTATAGTTGAGTTGTGTGTGCAGTAAAATTCATACTGAAGAAACGACGTCTCAACAAACTTAATTTAGTTTGGCTAAAAAATTCATTTTCAAGCCACTTTGTAAAAGTTTATTAAAAATTATTAAAAATAAAGGAACAAAAAAGATAAATAAAAGACATGGAAAAGTAGCAGAGATCATCAATTGTGCTAAAGCGGTATTGTGTGGCTGGTTGGTCCTAAAAGTAGATAAAATAGCCGTACAATAACATGAACGTATGGCTATGTTGATATTCCATACCTACTACATATTGAAGAGTGGCATAAGCTCAGCCACTTTAATTCCTCTGAGCTTTTTTCTTTTATTTGCGACTTTTAACTTTTGCATGTAGTCATCGTTTTTGTATTCCTTGGAAAAATGCATTTAAGAGAAATAAACTGAAATGCTGAAGAAGACTGAACTGAACTCAACTGACTGAACGCCGCGAAATGCCTTAATGTGCACAACTTATACAAAAACTCATTAACAATAAGCCGTATGAAGAGGAAGCTACATAATAAAAAACAAAATTATTTTTTTTTATTTTAAGTTTCAAAAGAATCATTCATTTATGTTTTGGACACCAAAAAGTTAATGAAGTTTCTTCAGTTTAACATAAACATAAAGAAATAAAACTGAAACCAAGTCAAAGCAACATTATTAACTCCATTCCAATATTTGCAACTCCATTGGCGTTATTTTTGAATTACCAAATTAAGGACTCTTATATTAAATTTCCTTTTTCATAATATTTTAATATTAAAGTATGATTAAATACATATTAACATTTAAACTTTTACATCGATTTTGTTGTTTGCTTTTCTTTTCATACAAGAAATTATCTAAATTAATAAAAAAATTATTTTATATTATAAAAATAAGTAATATATTAAACCAATTTTATAATAAAGTTAATTAGAAACAAAATTGTTTATGTACTGCAAATGGTCTTTACATATGTTAAAGAAATTTAAACATTATTTACTAATTTTTCAAGATATTAAATGAAAATTACCTAACAAATTTTATACTTTTCTTAATGGGAAACGACTTTTAAATAATCAGAATTTCCCTCAAATTTTCTCTACAAAACCATGTATTTATTCTTATTTAACAATGCTTTAAGAGGGTTAAGAGTATTGAGTTAATGACAGCGTTAAGTGTAGAATGTCATGATTAACTGACCATTAATGGCACATGGCAGCATAGTATGATGAAACAATGTTATTTTAGGGTGATTACTATGCTTTTAATTTCAAAAATAAATGCAGTTAATTAAGGTTTCATATTAAAAACAGAAAGGATACTCACAGAATTTGAGAATTTTTCTTTAATTAAAAACCTTTGGCTTCATAAAATATATAATTACACTTTATACGAAAGTGTGATATTTGTTACAGCTTCAAATTCCTACAAGCATACTGTGAAGGAGCTGGTATAACTATAACCCGCAAATAAACCAATCATAATCTCAAAAAGAGGCCTTTTCTTAATAAAACGCGGCCAACTTAGAGATATGTGAATACATATCATTGAGCCATCCCATCTTTTATTAAATTGTTTAGCACATAAATAATTCAATAAGTGTTTTCATGATGTTACCGCTATCAAAATGATATTTAGGTGTTCCGAATCAGACCTAAAGCAATTCGACTGGATATCTTGTTTGACTTGCAGTTGTCGAAAACATCCCTGTGATCGAGAATACAGGTTAGAGGAATATTAAACTCCGTCTACGTCTCAGTTAAAGCCAGTTAGTGTAGCAGTCAAAAATCCTCCTGGACGTAAACTTTAAGTCGTCCTTTAGAAAACTTTAAAGCAGCTTGACTATGTGATAGTGTGTATTAATTCCGTCTGAATAACACTGCAAAGATCAGGAACAAGTGATAAGTCAGTTCTTTTGAGAAAATTCTACTGTCTATATCACTACATATTTTTGAGCCCTCAATGAAAATAGTTAGACCTTATCCTAATGAGAGATAACCCTATAGCCAGGACCTCAGGAAGTAAACTCAACAATAAATGGGAATAGGAAGGATGTAGTCAATATTTTTTGGAGTAACACTGTGGCCATAGTCAGTAGCCTTCCACTGTGAAGTAGCTTTGAGACTTGGAGTTGAAGATGCTGTCAAGCATTAGGCCCAATGCAATGGATGTTGTGATACTCAATGTACTATTAATACAGAGTTCAGCCATAAGCTGCACTCTATTAAATATCATACAGTATAAACATGTGTCTAAGGTCGTCCACCATATTGTGATGCAGTGCAATAGTATATACGTCTTATGACAGCCGTACAGAGCCTTTGAATTGTCTTTATAACCTTTTGTAAATAAAATTTTCCTTAATATAACATATCACATATCAAAAAATGAGATATCCAAGCGATAAACAAACTATTATATTAGCATATTTCAACAGTTCTCTTTGGATGTCTTCATAATAACCTCGCTGAAATGTTTTGATATTTTCGTATACAATTTTTAACTTATCAGACGAAAGCACTTAAATTATGTAGATATCCTCTGATTTTCAAAAACATCAGCATAACAAAGCAAATTCGTTTCGCTCGCTTTGAAACCAAAATGCAACAAGTGCAAATTTTAACAATTCTTCGCAATGTCAGGCGGGACGGGAGTGCAAGGTGGTCCACAATTGCAACTGCAACTATGCTAGTCAAGCAAACTCGTATGTGATTTGTATGCATGCGCATATAAGCACTGCATACATGTTACCACTGCCAAGCTCGTATTATAATATCAGTGGCAGCGCCGCATGTTCAGCACCTTTGGGAGATAGCGGCAACAAGTTGTACATCAATAGGCGGTGTCATAATTTTCACAGCAGGTGCCATTGCTAATGATTTAGAGCACACCAACACACCAGCGCACAAACACACAGTCACACAAACAAATGAACGTATGAACAAATAAGCACAGGAGCAAACAAACAGAAAAAATTAAGCAACAATGCCACAATAAAAAGTAAAGCAAAGTAGACAATAAAAACAAAAGGGAAAAAGTACCATGTCAATGTGACAGCTACTCTGTGTGAAGGAATAGTGGGAAGAGGTTGGTTGCAAGGAATATTTTAATGAGTAATAAAAAGTGAAAAATCTAAATTCAATGTGCCATGACACTGTTAACTCAAATCTGAAAACACACAATGCATTTGAGATAAGCGCCTTTGATCTTGAACTGCCTACTAAGTGCGTTCATTTAGTTTCACTGCGTACGTACTAATATAAACATAGATATACACACGCATTTAAAATGTTTCTGTATGTATTCTTTTTTTTTTAGCCGAGGGAAATTTTGTTGGTCAACTACATTGTTCATGTGAGATTTATCACACGATAAAATTTATTGAAATACACACATTGGCCATTCTTCGTTTCTCTTTACACGTGTATTTGTAATTTGTAGTTCTTTTGTATATAGAATAAAATAAATTTGTGTTTGAAGTCAAAAGAATGAAAATAAAATAAAATGAAAACCGACACAAATTGGAAAACAATTCATTATTCATTATTCATAAAAGAAATTAGTGCGTAGACAGTTTAGCGACGTCAGAGTGGCGCCACCGAAGTAAAGGTGAGCCATCCACACTTGTTACCGTTTGAAAAGCCATTAACCACAGCATTATATGCAACACAGCACTGTCCAATCATCGCACATACACATATACATAGATACATATCTACGCAGTTGTAAGTTTTTAATGAAGAAAAACTCGCCTACATTAAAAATTGGCGTTGTTGGTACTCTGCTCTGATCTCTACCGAAAGATCGATTAATCAAATCAAGTTGTAGTTACTTGTTGTAATATACATAATGCATAATATCACTGTTGGCTTGTATGCCTGCGTCCGCAGAACAGTTGTAGTTGTTACCGCAACTATACACTTCAACTATGATAAGTAGAGGAATTTCTGTTTATAAATTGAATATTCCATTTCAGTGCGGTTGCAAAAATGTGTGCATAAATCTATGCGCCAAAACCTCGTAATTTAGCAATTTAATTGCAACTCGACATTGTAATTACTCCAATTAAGTGCAAGTTAAAATCAAGAATTAAGCGCCAAATCGTTTCAATTGTAGGCACAGTAGTGGTTCGTAGTGGGGTTCGTATTCAATGCATTCGTATGCCAACTACAACATGCAGAGGCCGAAGAAACTAGAACATTGCGAAAATTGCGGTGTTAAGGTAAGTTCAAGCACGTTTACAAAAGCGGCTGCTTACCTCTAATAACAATTAACTTTGCCATAGAACATGATTTTCTACACCTGATGAAAAATGTTTATATTGGTGAAGAATTTTACAGTTATTTGATTGCTACTGGATAAGGATCATTTTTAAAATTCCTCAATTTTTGCGATAAAATTTGATATTCAATACTAAATATTTAAAGCAAATTAATAATTATCAAAGATTGTATATTAAACGGAATTAAACTTAATTGTAAATAAGTTCAAAGTTAAAACAACACAATTTTTTATATATATTAATTTTTTTGAAATGTGTGAATTTTTAAAGTATTATATATCTCTGATTATTTTTAACAAAGGACCAAAATGACTAAGCAAAACCATAGAATCGTAGGTATGACCTGATATTTACGTAGTTATATGACCATAACAACCTGTATCGGCCTGCAGCATTTTTTTTTTAAGCAACACTGCTGTGTGTCCGTCTTCTTCACTCTTCTACATCAACTGCGTTCAGTACTCCCTTAACTTAATCACTCCATTCCAGAGATATGATTTACTTCTACGTATTTTTCAATTAAATACCATATTCGCTTGAGCATCGTGATCCATTCTCACAACATGACCCAGCCAAAGGCGCTGGATGTTGATTTGCTGAATTCAATCAATGTAGCGATAAAGCTCGTGGATCAGATGAGGTTTTTTATTAGCAAGTCAAGAGCAATTTTTTCATTCGTGATTTACTTTTAATATAGTTTTCATTATCAATTGATTAATCAATATATAAACACTTGAGATTATTTTAATAACATTCCAGATATTTTGTTAGATTAATAAAATCTTAATAAAATTAACAGCGCTTTTATATTATTTGACAATTGAAAATGTATGTGGTATTTTAAATATTTGATATATTATGTTCATTTGCAAATTAAAAGTTTAAATCTAAATTAAAATATTACAATAAACGAAGTTAAAAATGAATAAAGTAATATATAAAATATCTGATTGTATATATCTGATTGAGTATCAGTCACATGTTCGATTGGGCTACAAAATTTGTGTAAAAAATAATAGATGGAGAGTAAATCTAGATTTGGCAATCCATAATGACTTAACTATAACACTAAACTACAGTTTAAAAATTTCAAAACATTATTGATATAAAATATATAATTACATATAATTTTTATAATATATATTACGTATATATGATATAATCTTTAAGATTGCACAACATTTTATGACAATTTTATTGCATTTTATTGCTTTATTTATTTAAAGCAATATGCATTGTTCAATATGTATATATTTATTTACTTATATTTATAAATATATATATTTAATTTAAGTATGAAGATTTTAACATACAGTGATGTTTACTAATAGTTCATATTTGGTGTAATAAATATTATTAAAAAAAAAAAAATGTGATATATATGAAACGTTTTCTTCTTGTTGTGAGAATAGCCCAATTTTAAAATTTAATTACCTGTTTAAACCAAAGATCATGAAAAAGTTATTAAAAACTTATCTATGGTATTTATCGTGGAAGAAGAAATGATCAATTCTTTATATAACCGAGTAAAAACTAGCATACAGAATTATCTTATATTTCAAACAAAATACATTAGCTTCTAAGTGAAAGGATATTTTATGCTCTTTGAAAGTGAAGAAATATAGCTATTTTGCTGAACATGAATATTTTTGATTTACAAGAAATACAATATGTATATCTCATTTAAACATGGTATGAATTATATATACTTTAAACTACTTTCTATATACTATTAGAAAAACTAATTTAATTCGGTTTATGCATTGAACTAATTGATGGTTTTAATTTAAAATTGTACTTTCAATAATAAAAATGCGGAAATATCTGCATTAACAAGAACACGTCTGCTTTTATGTTACAATTGGCACAGCAGCAGCAGCAGCACCATTGGTTCCAAGTACCTCAACTGCATTAAAACTGCATATATAGAATTTATGTTCAATTTGCTTGTTGTAATTATCTGTAAATAGCAGCTTCCGCAAATTTTCCGTTTCTTGCAAGATTTTATACGCGAATTTTGTGCTTTTTATACTTATTTCCCTTTATGTATCTATTGCTTGTTGGTAGCTGGCGGTCGTTGATAGTTAGATTGTTGGTTAAGTTTAACCAAATTAACCCGATACCAATAAATTAGCAAGATTAAAATGCTACCATTGTAGGTTGTGAGTTGGCATGTAAGAGAATTACAGAGTGTCGGGAAGTCGATTGCTTTCTCTACCACATTGGCGAAATTATTTTTAAGTTGTTTTAAATTTAATTTTATTTATTTACCTATAGACAAGAATACTCGTTCAAATGTATATCCATATATAAGTACATTCTTTTGGCTGTAAACGAAATTAAACTGGTTACCGTTGAGCGGTAGCTGTTCAAGTAGGAATCAAGAAGTATAACTCCTACCTTGACTTGTTTTTTTATTTATTCACGTGTAGCGCGGAATTCCTGTGCCTGTTTCTTATATCTGCACCCATGCCTCTAGGAACAAGAGGTATGGAGCCGTTGCTGTAGAAGATTGCGATGCATGCAGTTGCGCATGGCTACTGTGTGTGCGCTTTAGACGAATTAACACAATTGCTACATAATCAGAGTAAATTATTTTACAACTTCTTCTGTAGATTCAGGCAGTAGATCAGTTACTTTCTTTTCAATGTGAAATTATGTTATTGTTGTTATTGTTGTTATTATTGTTGCACTTGAACAATTTAATTTAGTTTTATGTAGTTTTTATGGTTTTCTTTTGGTTTGTTTGGCTTAATTAAATGTACCACTTCTTTTATTCACTCTGTCATACATATCTATATATGATGAGATAAGCCATATTTATGTATATAGATATTTAAGTGCTGGTACCGTTACATATTTAAGCGTGCGCAGTAGTTAGTTTTATTTTACAGCCAGACTTAGATGTTAATCATACGCAGTGTAGGCTTTCAGTTTCGAGGTTATAAAGAGTTTTATGATCTAATTTAGTCTGGGTTTTGCTTAGAATAACTCAGCAATGAGTTCATTTCTTCTATGCATATTTAAACATTCTAATATGTATTTGCTTAAAAGTGGGTAACTTAAATTGATGTGTGTTCGACACTTTATTAAATTGAAATTGTTTTCATTTCATGTTGCAGGCGTTATTGATATTACACCGAAAGTCATTATATATTAATTGACTTCGAATGCCTTTCAGTTGGTTTGGGTCGACTTGAATTGTTCGAGTTTTTAGCATAAATTATAAATTTTTAACTTTGTCTGTTGTTAAACAACTTTTACTGTATTGTAATTTTATGTGAGTTTCATTGTTCGACTTGTTTCATTTTTCGCTTGTTTTCATTTCTCAAATTAAGTGTTGAAAGCTTACAGAAATACAACTGCAAATTAAAGCGATCGAATATAAAAAACAATTGCTTGTAATTTGGCTCAGAATTCAATAAAAATGTGTAAAATAATAAACAATTAAAATTAATTTCATTTATAAATTATTTCAGTACAAGCTACAAAACATGAATCCTAAAAATTAAAAAGACATTTAAGCATGTATCTGCGAGTTTGAAGAGTGCAAATTAGGTACAAGAGGCAGGAATTTGAAACAATTTTCTTTAAGGACAGTTTATTAATTATGTGTATATTAAACAGTTATATACAAGCTAAAAAGTCCCTTAATGTAGTATGAAATAATTATAAGGTATTAAAAAAAATGTTTGCAATTTATTTTTAATGCCTTAACAATATGCCAATTTGTGTAAATAAATTTGTTAAGATTAGAAAAATCTTTATTAAATATTAAATTTATTAATTCTATTTTTAATTATATATTATTATACTTATTATTATAAACCAATGATGTAATAATTCTATTCTATAATGACCCATAATTTTTTATAACATTAAATTTTTTTTGTCGAAAGTGAAGCGTTTTATGCCGAAAAGAGCCTATTTAAAAGCCAGGGTTTGAATAGAAATGAAAATACAACAATTAAAGTTTTAGTTAATTTATTGAAATTTGGCTTTGGCTGATCGCTGAATATTACCAAGTACTTATCATCAGCGGTCTCTGAAAATATTCAATTTTTTTAATTAGTTTATAGTCCTTATATAATTTGTTTGGACTGTAAGTGTCAGGCTTTTTTAAGATATTAACAATTTTTACTAAGTAATTCTGAGATTCTCCATTTTTCACAGTTGTTAAGTTTGAATAAATAGTTTCTTATAAAAAAATCCATTTTATAAATCATTTTAATTAATAAAATATATGTCATTCGAAGACGAATGAAATGCTTGGAATCAGGTCACACCGATGAGAGTCTTAAATGACTAAGAGAGATCCTATCTCGTGACTCTACGCACTCCGTGGGTAGTATAAAGTCTATAGAAATAACATATCTGCTTTGTACTCCCTTCACCGTGCTATATAAAAAGCAAAAACAAAAAAAAGGACAATAGCTTTATATTTTAAAAACGCAATTTTGATTAAACACTGATTTAGATGATGCATGTTAGTTATACAAAATGCTGTTATAACATTATACACCCTATTAGACGTTTATAAAGAGGCTCTATGCATCACATTCGAAATTCCCATAGATACCGTTTAGATGCTTTACAGATATGCAGACAGACTTAGTATTGATCAAGAATTTATACAGTTTTTGGCGTATACTGAATCAAAGTAATAGTGTTATAAATATCTTGGAGAACTTTTATCATTGAAAATGTTTATACAAGTATTCTTGAATGGTTTTTTTGTGAAATTATCCTTTAGCGCGTTCTTTTTTGTATTTTTGGTGCTGTTATCTTACGCTATGACTATGGTTTATTGTTATGTACACACCTAGACTGTCTATTATAGTAAAGTTATAGAGTCCACTTTGTTATTGATATAAATTCAATTAAGCAGTACAATTAATTTACTGGAATATATTCATAATTTACAGTATAGTTGATACTCAGTAAATTTTGTTTTATATATGGTTGCAAAAAAATTTAAATATTTATTTTATTTAATGTGTTCGAACTTCTTCGAAATATTTATTTTTATTATTTTCTCAACTAAAATTATTATAATCAATCGCAAATCTGGCGCTATATAACCAAACAAAGACTTCAAAACAATGAAATTAAAGTAAAAAAATAACTCAACACCATATGCTAAAGTGATATTGTTGCGAAATATGTTTGACGAGGATATTGGCATCTTAAAAAGGAAGCAAAAAAAGATTACAAAAAAATCTATATTGTCTATTTTTTTGAACACAAAAGTGTATCCAATCTATTTAATGCCGGCGTCTTGTTTGTTCCGATTTGACCCAACCTTACCGTAGACAAATTTTACTAAATTTAATTTCGAAACATTCATCAAAAACGAAAACTTAATGCAAGGTAACACTATATTGAATTTCTGTTGAATGTTGCCACAGATTGCCCTCAGAAACACAGACTCAGTTGCAGATAGCAACAAATTGTGTAGCTAATCTTCAAGGCGCAGAGGCGCAGCATACAAGAGCTCAGCGGTGAGTCTGTGCGGCACACATTTTTATTTTTCGATTTGTAAATGAAACAAGTGTCAGGATTTATGATCTTCCGTTATGCTCACTGGAAATGTGGGAGAGTGTTGAAGTCGGAATTAAAACTGAGTTTATTTCTTTTCGATTCGGATTGACTTTAATGACTTCCTCTTGCACATATTATTAGATTTCGATTCAGTTCTTCGGCAATTATAGTTTTGTTTGTATGTCTTCCACAGCAGAGCAACAAAATAAATAAATCATATCAGTGCCTTCAACATTTCATAGAGAAGAGGTTTTATTTTCTTTTTAGCAGGTAAATTAAAATTTCAAGAAAACAAAAGCCGAAATTAGTACGGCGATTTTATTTGGTAACAATGATAAATGGCTTTGTTCAATAATACCGTCACGAATTTGTATTTAGTTAGTTTTGTTGTAGAAATTTTAATTATGAAACAAGTTTTTTTTCAATCAAAAATTTTAAATAAATTTATTTTCATGGGAAGTTTATTAATTTTTAATCGGTTTCTTTTTATCATTTTAGGATCATCCAAGTTTGCGTGGGACTCCGTTAGCTATGCTGGCGGCACAATGTAATAAACTGTCTAGCAAATCACCGCCACCGTTGGCTGATGCTGCTGTCGGTAAAGGTTTTCACCCATGGAAGAAAAGTCCCATTTCTCCAACAAGTGGTGGTGGTGGAAATAGTGGTTCAGCTGGTTCACTCTCTAATACAGGACAACATTCACCATGCGCCATATCATCAGCTTCATCGTCAGCCTCTTCAGGCAGTGGTTTGGGTATTGGTGGTTCTTCGACTTCAGCTTCATCACGTGGCTTACCCTCTAGCACTATCAACACAATGGTTAATATTACAGCAAGGTAAGTATCTTAAACAACTGCGTTTTAAAATTTTTGTTCTTGAGACAATTGTTATAATTGAAAATAATTTCAGCATTTATCCTTACAGTCGCCCGTTATCATCGTCCTGTGCCGCAGTTAGCAGCCCAACAGGCTATGGCAGTGATCTGTATTTTCCAAACACAGGATCAGCAACTGGCGGAATGGTAGCTGACAACCACCATATGCATCAAGGATTGTTAGGAAAAGTAGAGGGTGCCACATTTGGTTCCGTCTACTCACGTCACCCATACGATTGGCCATTTAATGCAGTGACAGCTTCAGCACATAAAGCCGCTGAAGCGGCTAGTGTAAATACGGGTTGGTGGGATATGCATAGTGCTGCTGGTAGTTGGCTCGATATGGGTGGTGCCGGCATGCATTCAACTATGGCAAACTATGCTACAGCTGGTTCTGATTACTCCACAGCACTATCTCACTCATTATCAAATACTGCACATTTACTCGGTTCTGGTCAACACTTACTGCAAGATACTTACAAAAGCATGTTGCCAGGTCAAGGAGTAGGTGGTTTTTCACTACCACATAGTTCTCCTTCAGCAGTCTCTTCAGCCACCTCGCCACAAGGTGGCAGTGGAACAACGCCATCACCACGTTCACAACGTCGTTATGCTGGTCGCGCCACTTGCGATTGTCCAAACTGTCAAGAAGCAGAGCGTTTAGGACCCGCTGGTGTGCACTTGCGCAAAAAGAATATACACTCGTGTCACATACCTGGTTGCGGTAAAGTGTATGGTAAAACGTCACATTTAAAGGCACATTTACGATGGCATACGGGAGAACGTCCATTTGTGTGCAATTGGCTATTTTGCGGTAAGCGTTTCACACGCTCAGATGAGCTACAACGCCATTTACGCACACACACAGGTGAAAAGCGTTTCGCATGTCCCATTTGCAATAAGCGCTTTATGCGTAGTGATCATTTAGCTAAACATGTGAAAACTCATAATGGCACAAATGGCAGTACTGGCATTAAGAAAGGTTCCTCTGAATCATGCAGTGATTCAGAAGAAACTGCAAACCAATCAAATGAGTCTAATGGTATTGGTAGTAGTGTTGGGCAAGCAAATAATGGTGGAAGTCATCCAGGTACACCGACTTCTCATCAATCAGGTGGACAATCTACTACACCAACTGGTGGTGTGTTAAATAGTGGGTTGCATATGTCATCGCCACATCACATGTCAAGTGGTTCTCCAGTAATGCTACATCAGCAACAACAGCATCATCAACAGCAACATCAGGCACAGCAGCAACATCAACAGCACCAACAACAATCACATCCACATGCACATTTACATCATCATCATCACCATCATTTGGTAGGCAGTTCAGCACCCAGTCCTGGTTTGGATCATCACAGCACTTTAGTAGATATTAAACCTCCGATGGTTTGAGGTTCACTTGGACCCTTTCTGTTTACTAACTAAACAGAGCAGGGTTCCATTAAACAAAGCAACAGAGCTGCAACAAGTGTTGGGAAATGGTCAACACTTAATGTAAACTACATAATTTATTGGTTATTGTTTTTATTTGTAATTTTAAAAATATTATCCATAAGGTATTATTGAATTTTTATTTATAATTAAGATTCTGTAAAATAACTAGTTCAACTTTAATAATAAAATTTTTATATGTGTTTAAATATTAAAGCTGCTTTACTAAAAAATATTGTAAATACGAGCTACGATTTTCGGAAAAGTTCACTTAAATTTCATGTAAAAATGGCAAAAATTTTAATTATAATTAAAAAGGAATATTTAAAATAATGTAAATAGTTTAATTAAAAATTTACATGAACAATTTGATTAGTTTTTCTAGTTTAAGAAAACCAAATTTGCTTAGAAATCTAGCTGAGCCCCTCGCTTATGATTATCTACACGTCTCCCTAAAATGATCAATAAAAATATCTTATCGCTACATAAATTTAATGTAATTTTAATTAAGATGAAAATAGTGTTGATATTTTCTAGTCGAATTATTTAAAGTTATTTAAAACAATTTTGAGCTAAGAAAACTTGTATTTTGTTAAAATTCAATTAAAACTTGATTCTCTTCTTTTTAATACTTTATAGCTTTTTTTGTAAAAAGTAATATATTTGGTAGTTAGACTTAAAATATATTTTGTTGATTTTTAGCTTAAATTAAAAATCTTGATTATATAAATAATTGTTAGTTAAGAAAAACGAGTAAACAACTGCAGCTTAAATAGTTTTAATACCAAATTAAATTAAAATAATATTTAATGTTTTGGGATAATTAGGAGGGCTTCACTTTTACACTGAATGAATAAGTAAAATAACTATTGTACGTTTTTTATAATATTCAGATTGCAAATTTTAAAACTAAATAATTTTATATGTGAAGCCTAAATTATGTCTTACATTAGAACAGAATATGTAAATGTATAAAAGGTAAATTAAAATATTATAAAAATTTCTTTATTCATTAATAAAATTAATAAATGTGTGCAAAAAATAATTGTTATATTTACTTAATTTAATTTATGGCAAATTTATTTACCATTGTTGTTAGTGTTAATAAATTTAGTTTATTATAATTATAACATTTATAATTAAAATGAATTTTAATTAACGATAATGTTAATTATTTTATGGTAAACTTTAATATCACAGGGATTATTTGGGTGATAAATTTTATAATAATATATAAGTAATACTTTCAAAAATACTATTCCAATTCATATCTTTGAAAATATATTTCTATTTATTGAAAGTATTTCACCCCTTCTTTCGATATTTTAATTTACAAATGTTTAGAGATGCTTTCTCTCATCATTTGTATCTCATATAAGGAAATACTGAGCGATTATTTTTCGGGGATGAAATATGAACAGCAAAAAATGTACTGGGTTAAACATATTTTGGGATTAAAATTGTCTTATTTTTTTAATATGAAATTAATAATTTATTTTCAAAACTTAAAGATTTGAGATTGAGAAAGTTAAAATAAATCAGTTCGCAAATTTTAAATTAATTTTAAACATTATAATTTAATTTATTTACATTTCTTTTATACCACTTATTTAAAATGGTTGTAGAAAGATATTAACTCCATTCGACCCAGTGACCTCTACTTAATATATCATACTCCAAAATGAAAACATTTTTGTATGTAATTTGCAGTTTGCTTCAATTATCTAAATAATAATATACATTGTTAGCGGGACTTCTTTAATCGATTAATTATATTAGAAGTGCTGTATTTACTAACATATCAATTTAAAATATGAAATTTCAATGAAAATATATTTCCTTCTGAAATTTTTGTAGATAAAAATAAACGAATGTTATGTATTTTTTTACTTATTTATATTCAAAGATACAATGCACAGCCCAAAGATAGGCTAGAAGACACGTTACCTGGTGTCTGACAAGGCACTGTGGGGTGAAGTACCACCTTAACATAGATCTTTCAGCGACCAGTATCTGTCGATTTTAATAAATGGATGTCTGAACACATTATTTATGGGATAGACTTATGCCGCCTTGAAACATGTGAACTAATGTAAAACTTTCAAAGGTTTTCTAAAAGCCCGATAATTGGTTAAAATAAGTGCGGCAAGTATTTAGGTAGGAACGATATATATTTGCTTTTAGCGTTAATTTAATTATATTGGAATCCTTGTTGAGTATGTTTATACCCGTTCTATGAAATGAATTGTCGGGACTATCCATAGAGACTACTATTTCGGTATATCACTTCTACTTTTAATATAAATGTCATTCACCGGAGTATCCTCAAGGGGTTCAAGAATATATAGTCTTTGTTGTAAGCCAGATCTGAAGTACAGATCAGGTAGGGGAATTGCAAGTGTAATTTGCAAAATTAAACCTTAAGTTAGATTAGGTCTTAAAGGCACATATTGATATGAACATCAATGCTTGCCCACTTTAAATTTCCAGAAGAACGGGAGCAATATGAACTATTGTTTCCATATTAATCCATTTCGTTTTTAGATTCGGTAAGTTGACTCTGAGAGGCTAGCGTGGAAATGGTTTATTATACATTAAAGTCGTTTCGTATTTAGTCCAGAGTAAAAACATGGAAAGTGATTGATCGATTCTACCTCTTCTTCAACATGGTATCCTCTGCGTAGTCCATTTGTTAGAATATACCAGCATCGAAGTATTCTTGCAATAGTATAGTGTCCCAAAAATATTTCAGTAAGCATATGAACTATAGGTTTGTTGAAAGCTATAATATCTTTCGATATAAAAATTTTTAAAATCTGGAACGCTATACTGTGCTAGACTGATTGAGCAGCTTCACAAAAAATAATGTTTGGAAAGGCATTAAATTATGTCACTCATTTTTTGAATGTTGGCTAAGTAATATCGAAGTAGATTGTAACAAAAAGATGTATTTGTGGAATAGGTTTTTAGTTAAACTGAATTAAATTAATAAGATGTTATTCAAAGAAAAGGACTTCGATTATAGGTGAACAATAACTAATCTTTAATTTGAGAAATGACGCATTGACAACTCATAATATTATATTATAAAGCTTTGGTTTCAGTAAATATATATCCTAATTTATGAAATATAAACGAATTTGTATCTTCTGCCATTGGCTCAGTTTTGCTAAATAATTTATATTAGTAATAGATATAATAAGTATCTATATTAATAACATAAATAATTCCAAGACCACTAATGATGGGCATTTGGCAATATTCAAAACAGCTGTATGGTCAGGTAAAATTCAATTAATTAAAATACCTCTTTATCGAAAACAATAGTTTACATTCAGTATATAGTTTCTTTCATTAAAACGGACGTTAAACATTAATTGAATAATTTATTAAATAATCCAACAATGATTAAAGTCAATTACATATTCTTTTTTTTTGAAAATCCGGTCTAGAAACTAAATTGTATCCGTGATAATTTCAGTAGACTTAAGACGTTAACTAATTCATCCATCATTTTAAATATTATTAAATAAAAAATTAATTACGCTAGAAATCTCATTAGTTTAAAAAGTTTTGAGTTCATTCATCTCTACCAAAAATTAATGTCCTCTTCAAACTGAATTGTCCCAAGTTCAAGCTCATCAATTTGATTTTCAATTAACTCCAATAACTGCTCAATCATCCTTTGCCCTAAAAGCAATCGCTGAATAGCAATAAATGCGCCGCTTAATCTCTCGACCAGCCCAAAAAGGGCAGTACCACTTTATTAAGGACTTTTAAATGCACAGATACGAGTACCAGTTCCAACCGAATCCATTTACCACCCACATTTGCTCAATAAAAGTTAGAGTTTTTGCTTTTTTAAGTGTGTTACATTATTGCACAAATGCTTTATATTGGATAAAATCTGGATTCTGCAACATATAAACAAACAATAAAAGTCCTTGAATCGAGCGTATGGATGCGATTATGTGATTCACAGTGGGGTTAGTTTAACGTTGATGGGAGAATTTAAATTGTGAAGCATCAACAATTCATAACCATAAAATATGTTCCAACTCAAGTCGCATTAGAAGGGTCGCTTGAAATCGACGGATTCAATCGTGCGAGGGTGAATTTCCAATGAGCGATTTTAACTTGTGGCATGGGTTGTTGGTGCAAACCATCATTGAAGGGGGATAATACAATACTGTGAAGTGAATATTTTGAAGTTTATTTAACAATCTCCAACCATGATGACACATCATAACAGTTTATCACTGTTTTGGTATAAAGAAATTTTTGTCAAGCGGTTGAACTCAATTGAAGTGATTTGAATTTTATTAACGGAGATTTGTATACAAGCATGTATCTGTAAACTGATTAATTTTTTATATGGTATCAAGTTTGGGGTCTTATTTGCTGTTGGTATTATGAGTTAGGATATTAGACTTTTGTATTTTGCTATATAAAATAAAACTTAAAAAAAAATTAAATAGCTTTACAGTTTGAATTTCAACGAAAATAACATTAAACTCAATTATTAATTTTATTTAAAAAATATTGTATTTTATGCAAATGTGCTTTGTAAATCCTTTTGGAAATTATTTACAATGGAACTATATGCAATTAATTATCATTCAAACATATAACTCTTGTATCCAATATCAACACAAACAACAACAAAAATATCTAACAGGGATTTACACAACTCATTTGCGTCTGGTGTCACATGAGCAACTCCTGCTGTGCTTTGTAAAAGGATGCTCAGCTCATGGGTTTTTATCTTTATTTTGGGTTAATATTTTCCAAAAAAATATTCGAATATTCGAATTTCAAAGGGAAAACAACGACAATAGGACATGTAGTAAATTACAATATGAGTTCTGCTCTTAAAATAAATTAACAAATAAGAGAAAAATCTAACTACGCGGCATTGCATCTTTGATGATAGCATCGGTTTGCATACGTGTAAATTAATACTTTGGCAGAGCTGTTGAAAAACATTAATTTGTGGGGATAATAATTAGAAATATGACAATATTTAACTAAATTATATTAATTGAAATTTGATTTAATTATTTATAAGTTAATTAAGATACAATCATTTAATTCAGTTTTGTAAGTATAAGGTTATATTGCAAGGTTATATCAGGGTAGCATGAGTATCGTGATTTAATGTATTTATACTCTTCGAACGTACCGCATATATATCATTGATGTGTAAAACTATATTTCTTTTTAAAACTATAAAAATTCGTTATTTTCTAAAAATCTAGAACTATCTTTTTAATAGAGAATTTTAGTACACTTACAGTACTAACTCAACTTAAATAATAAATAAATATTGTGAAACCATAACAAAATAAACTTTGGGGTATGTATGTTTCATAAATGGATCTAACATATTATAATAAAGTATAATAATTTTTTTAAGCTATACTTAACATAAACATACCTGTAGAATGGTTATCGCAATCTTTGAAAAGAACTAACCTAAATGCTGCACTTTCTAGCTTTGTATACATATAGGTATATTGACTGTAAGCAATAATGTAGGAATTTATCGTTTCTAGAATTAGATA